TTTCTATCATCACTGTATCATCACTGTCATCCAGTTGTTCATCGGTTTGCTCAAGCAGATGCCAGTAACGTCTCCATTCATCCCTGTCGCCTGCTAGTGTAGCCTATGGTGTCTGCTCAGTCCAGGAACACAAAGAGCCTGAGATTTTAGCAGCCTCTCCTTACTCGTCCTTCTCAATGCTGCGGCATTGAGGGCTCTTTCAGGGTCAGGGGAATGAGGTCCATTATTGTTACTGTTTTTGGCATATTGAATACGTGACAGGTAGCTTGCCAGGCTCTGCCATACGGGCAGGATACTCTTGGTAGCTTGCCAGGCTCTCTGAGAGGAAAAAAATGCTTCTTAGAAATGAGGCAGATTTTGTATATATTATTGTATATACCCTATTGTAAATTGATGGTGAATTACCATTTCAATATCACTCTATCAGATTAAAAGGAATCCTATATGCTTCCCTCATCTTAGTAGAATATTCAGCCACTAAATCCATTAAATTCTATAAATTCCTTTTTAGTGATATGTCTGTCACAAACCCTCTCTGTAATTACACTGTTTTATAATCTCCTTTCACACCTTTTCCTTTAACAACTGCAATAAATTTTCTAAGTGGCTTTCCAATCAATAAATCCTCTCCCAACCCAACACTGTGGATATTTTCCCCAATGTGACCTACTAACTCTCTTGTCTCAAACATTTAATACCAGTAGAAACAGTGCAAGTTCCAACTTGAGAAAAGAAAATACAAAATCAAAAAATTCCTTCTTTGGGGCCAGAGTGACAGCACAGCGGGTAGGGCATTTGCCTTGCACACGGCCAACCCGGGTTCGATCCCCGGCATCCCATATGGTCCCCCAAGCACCACCAGGAGTAATTTCTGAGTGCAAAGCCAGGAATAACCCCTGAGCATTGCTGGGTGTGACCCAAAAAGCAAAAAAAAATTTCCTTCTTTATTAAGATAATAAGCTTTACTAATAATCCTGAAGGAAACTACACAGATTAGAAAGCTACTTTTTATTCAGGTACCATGTTGCAAGTTACTTTACTTAAAATTTATATATTGAGGTAATATTGGTTTACAAGAATTTCTTTCAATTACAATTTTATACATCTTTTAAAATCTTTAAAAACCCACACCCAAGCACCCGTATCCTTCTACCATTATCCATTGAATTCTTTCCACTCTTTCAAGCCCCCTTACTCTCCATCTTTGGAAGTCTCAGTTATCAGAGTCTAGAATTTGTTTTAATTTGTTTTCCCTATTTCTTTGCTTTGTTTCTTTATATTCTTTATATTCTTATATATCATAAGCAAAATCATCCATTATTTTTCTTTCTCCTTCTTGCTTGTTTTGCTTAGTATAATTCCCTTCAGTTCCATTCATTGTCACAAAATGCAAGATTTCATCTTTTCTTATCCCATTGTGTATATAGGACCACATTTTTTCTTTATCTATTCATCTATCAGAGTACTTGAGTTGTTTAGAGATCGTAGCTATTTTAAACCATATTGCAATGAGTACAGGTGTCCATATATCTTTTCAAATTAGGATTTTTGTGTTCTTAGAATAGGCTGGAGAGATAGCACAGTGAGTAGGGCGTTTGACTTGCATGCAGCCAACATGGCCGACCCGAGTTCGATTCCTCCGCCCACACGGCAGAGCCTGGCAAGCCACCCGTGATGTAGTCGATATGCCAAACACAGTAACAATAAAGTCTCACAGTGGAGATGTTACTGGGCCCACTCGAGAAAATCAATGAACAACGGGAGGACAGTGACAGTGACAGTGTTCTTAGAATAGATACCTAGGAGTGGAATTGCTGTGTCACATGGTAGATATATTGTTAATATTTGGAGAAATCTCCATGTTGTTTTCCTTAGAGAATGGGCTAAGTTACCTGCTCACCAATATTATACAAGTGTTCATTTTTTTCCACTCTTCTATCCACAGCTGTTGTTTCTGCCCTTTTGGTTACTGTTTTTTTTTGGGGGGGTACCTTGTGGTGCTCAGGGATCACTCCTTATGGGGGTTAGGGACCATATGTGATGCAGGGGGAAAAAACCCAGATCAGTCACATATAGAGTAAGTGCTCTACCCACCATACAATTGCCCTGGTCCTGCCCATTTTGATGTACTTCATCTTACTGGTGTGAGTTATTGTCTCAATTGTTGTATTTGCACTTTTCTGATAAAAAGTAATAGTGAAAATTTTTTCAGGTGCCTGTGGCCAACTATATTTTTTCTTTGGTGAAGTATCTGTTCAGTTCTCTTTCCCATTTTTTATTAAAAATTTCATGAAAATTTTTATTTTTATGATTTTTGTGGTGAGTTTCATATATATCTTGGCAATTAGCCCTTTGTCAGATGTATGATGTGTAAATATCTTTTCCACTCATTAGGATGCTTTAATTTTTTAATATTTTCTCCCATTGTGCAGAAACTTTTCAATTTGATTTAATTCCATTTATTTTTGTTTTTCTTCCCTTGAGATCAGAGTCAAATACCAAAGACCACACCAAAGCCATTATCATGGAGTATTTTTCTGATTCAGTGTGATTTGTGATTTTAAGTTTAACTTGATTTCAAGTCTTTAACTCATTTTACATTGATTTTTGTGTGTGCTCAATGTCAAATAGTGACCCAGTGTGAAACATTTCTCTTTGATGATTCATAAACACTCTGAGGGATGCTGACTCACCCATCAGTCCTGCTTTACTGTTTCCTGACTGAATCTCCCATATCAAGCAGCTAAAATCCATGGAAACACTGCTTCCCATGGCTGAAAGCTCTAGGGTACAGACACACCCACATCCCATCACTGCAGCCAAGCCAAGGGATCAACCCCTCCACAAATACTCACTAGAGATGCCAAACTGTGAATAATTTCAGGTATTCCTGTGCCCAGGCTGAAATTCTGGTGTTTCTCAGACTCAAGATGGGCAACATCCCCCAACCCCCAAACTTTCAGAAGCCCTAGCAACTACAACTACCTTCCCAAATTCATCATGTCAACTCATTGGCCCAGACCATGGATCTTGAATTTCCTGTACCCTGTGGCCACATATATGACCTACTAATTCCTCAATACTTAAATTCCAGTAAGAGCACATTGTGTGCTCCTACTGGATGTAAAGAAACACAGAAGATGTAAAGAAACACAGAAGATGTAAAGAAACACAGAAACCAGCTAAACTCAACAAACAAAAACCGTAACAGATGACTCAACTAGCAGCAAACAGCTTAACAAATTCTTAGGTAAGGACTTAACCTCATGATCAGATAATTTTCAAATTAAAAATAGATTTCTTAACACTGGTTTTAACATTAGTTTTATTATCCAATCAATTTCAACTCTAGAATTGTATGAACAGTTATGGCTTTTGTCTATGTTAAAATGAATTTTAAAATTAAAAATAAATAAAAATAAGTACTCTGAGAGAACAGTATCTCCAAAGGAGTTAAACACAGACCTAATTACAAGCTAATAAAATTGGGTGAAGATCGTAAAGTATGATTAAATTGATCTGGTTCTTTGTTCACAAGTGCCAGAAATTTCTACAGTGGTTTCCTCCCATTTTTAGTGTACAGAAATAAAAGCTGTGTTGCTGTGAAACTGTTTTATTTCCCACATAAAACACAAAGCTTTGGGACCCAAGAGATAGAACAACAGGTAAGTTGCTTTCCTTGCAATGCTCAACCTGGGTTTGGCCCCCAGCATCCCACATAGTACTAAGCTGGCCAAGCGTGACCTGAGCAAAGGGAGCTTGGCCCAAGACAAAAACAATATCCACAAACCTTTGAAAAGACTGATATGGTTATGATGTGATTATCAGAAATCAGTTAACAAACGATTAGGAAGTAAGATACAGACACTAGAATTTAATCACCTTTAAAAAAATAGAGTTTAATCACCTTTAAAAAATAGAATTTAATCACCTTATCCTCCCTCTAGGGCATCCTTCTAGGGCTTTTCCCAGCTTTTTACCTCCATCAAAAATGATATCAAGCAGGCACCAAAAGTGGACTATATTTTGTACAGACTTCAATAGTACTGCCTGTTCTGTTTTTTTCATTTGTGTAGTCTTCAGTATCCGTTTAATGAGTAAGTGTGAAAAGGGGGAGAAACTTTTAAAAGAAAGTGGGCAAGAGCAGGAGTGAAGAAAGTCAAGGGGGAAATGTAACCGAGACACTCCAAAGGGAATGTACAAATGACAAAGGATTTCAGGAAAGGATGAAAGCAAAGAAATAGGCAGAGAGGCTGAAGTCTGAACGTGGGTTCTTGGGGGAATCACAGGGCAAAATAAAAACCAAGAACCCGGTCCGATTTTTTTTTTATAATAAATACTGAGTGATGTTGATTCACCCACCCACCAGCCCTGTTCTATTGCTTCCAGACTAAATCTCCCAGGAGATACATGTCAAGTACGTTACTTTTAATGTTCATGTGCGTAGTGCCTTCAGTATCTGCTTAATGAGTAAACAAAAAAAAAGGGGGAAGAAACTTGTAAAAGAAAGTGGTAAGAGCAGGAGAGTAAACAAAGTCAAGGAAACTAAAGATTTTTCACTAATTTTTTCCACTTGACCCAGAGATTTTTTTTTTCCCTTTTTTTCCTCCTCAGGAAACAGCCACATTTGGCAGTCAATTACTTCACATTAAATTTTTGCGCGGGCACAACGAGGCGACTAGAAGAAAGGACTGGGACAAGGGGACACTTTCTAAATCTCATCTTATTCTTTAATATCTAAATAATCGTAGTAACGCGCGAAACTGCTGAGACAGAAAAAAAAACCGAAGCTCCCATCTCTGCCCACAGCTAGCATGGCTGAAGCGCTTCCTCCGCCCACATCCCAAACGGCCCTTGAGGAGACGCTCCTGACAGTCTCCCACAGGCCCCGCCTCTCCACCGGAACCCCGCCTCCCCTTAGTGCCCGCCCATCCGCCAGAAACCTGCTGGTGATTGGCTGGCGTGTCGCGGCGGATATTGCATCACGCTGTAAGCGGAAGGGGCTGCGTGCGTCCGGACTCTGGGGGTGCGCCTCGGTTCCGTGAGGTGTGTGCGTCCGCCTGTCGCCCAGCCGGGACGGGAGAATCCGCGTGTTTGGGGTAACTGGGTACCAAGGTACGGTTTCTCGGGGAGACCAGCTCGGTGTTTGTGACCTGGGACCCACCCCCAGCCCCGAGACCGCTGCTTCTGAGAGGGGAGGCCCCGGAGACGCGGGCGCCGCGAGCTGCGTCACAACCCGGCGGCACGTCAGGGCGCGCGTCCTGGGGGTGACCCGGGAGCTGGGGCGGGGGGACGGTCGCCGCGGGGGTTGGGGAAGCTGGGGCGGCTCTCGCCGTCGTGGCCCTCTTCTCCCGGGCCAGCGAGGTGCCGAGTCGCCACCGCCGCCCCGCGACCCCGGCGTGTCGTGGAGGTGGACGTTGACTTCGGGGGCTCGCTGGTCCGTAAGTCGGGGGTTGACGCGCCCTCGCTGCCCCTCGAGGCGGGGGTGGGGGCGGGGGGTGTGACTCGGAGTCCGGAGTCGGTCCCCCTGGTCGTCCGCGTTGCCGCGTCTCCCAGGTTCAAAGAACTAGACTCAGGCAAGGCCGCCGAAGAAGCGCGCGGCGGGGACCGGGGACACGGAGGCCACCCCTCCGCGAGGGCCTTGTGGCCCGATTGGAGTTGGGGGCGGGGAGGGGGTCGAGCGGACTGCGCGAGCCCCGGAGCTGGCAGCGCTCTCCTCGGCCGAGTGATGTAACGGCGTGAAAGGACCCGAAGGACTTGGGCCACTGCCAAAGGACGCCGGCCAGTCGCCGGGTAGTGTGCGCTCATAGTGTGGCACTGCTTGGCAGTGCGCCCCGAGGGCTGATTCAGAGCGATGGTTCTTGGCTGGGGGGGGGGGGGGGGGGGGGGAGGGGGGGGTGGGATGGTAGGTCGGGGAAGCGGGTCGCTCCCTGTGCGTGTTCCAGCACCCTGTTCTTTTTTGAATTGCGAGGACCCAACTAAGACCAGGAATTTCTTTTTCCTTTTCTTTTTTTCTTTTTTTTTTTTGTTTTCTTTTTTGGTAAGGGAAAGGTCCTCACATGGTGATTCTAGGGGGCTTACCCCTGGCTCTGCACTCAGGAATCACTCCTGAGTTCTTAGGAAACCTTATGGGATGCCACGGATCGAGCCCAGGTCAGCTGTGTGCAAGGCAAACGTCCTAGCCCCTATACTAACGCCCTGGAGTTTCCATTTTTAAGATGCATCCCATGCATCTTATGGCTGGAGCAATGACTCAGCAGGTAGGGTGTTTGCCTTGCACGTGGCGGACCTGGGTTCTATTCCTCCGTTTCTCTCAGAGAGCCCGGCAGCTACCTAGAGTATCCCTCCCGCACAGCAGATTCTGGCAAGCTACCCGTGGCACATTAGGATATGCCAGAAACAGTAATAAGACTCACAATGGAGACGTTACTGGTTCCCGCTGGACAAATTGATGAACAGTGGGACGACCGTGCAACAGTACAGTGCTAAGATGCATCCCCAGTGGTTTCATTGCCTTGGAGTTGGGTCACATCCTCCCCCCAGGAAGACCCGGTTGGCAAGTTGAGCAGAGATTCCTAGTTTGGATTCTGTAGTGTGACCTCGAAAAGTTACTTAAGCCCTTCTTAGGATGACATTTTTTCTTCTGCTCCAAACATTCTACACAGAGCCTTCTTTTAAATTTTTCTTTTGAAAGCTGCTGGATTTTTTGTTTTTAATTGTATTTGAGACACCATGCTTTACAGTATTCTTACTGGTAGGCCTACAATGTGCCAGTGTGCCACACCCTCCACCAAATTGTCTACTTCCCTCCACCATCGATTCTGGGCCTATCCCCTCCTGTTCACTTCTCCTGTTCTTCTGCTTATGGCCACTTGTTATCCCACAAATGAGAGCGGGCATTTGGTGATGTAATTCTCCAAAGATATGGACGAGATTTGACATTGGGGCCTAGTTTGTAGTGGTGACATGCAACCGAATGATAGTGCCTGAACTGGGTTCCTTTGGAAAGGATTTTCTGAGTAATTGTTGGAACTGGGAATCTAAATTTGATGGTTTGTCTAAAACTGTGAGATGGATTTCTTCCTATTTCAAGGGGCAAGCAGAGAATCCACAATATTTTAAAAGGTCACATCCCATTTTGCTTTCTTTCAAAAGGTGATTGACGACTCCTTAACTTTAGGTTCTTTGTGCTTTTTTCCATAATTTCTAATTTTGGGATTTTGTTTTGTTTTTCCTGTCTGTTTTAGCATTTCAGATCTGCTTGGTAAACCAGGTGTACCACCATGCTGGCAGCAAGACTTGTGTGTCTCAGGACACTACCTTCCAGGGTTTTCCACCCAACTTTCACCAAAGCCTCTCCTGTTTTGAGGAACTCTATCACGAAGAATCAATGGCACTTAACACCCAGCAGGGTAAAGATAATCTGAATGATTTGTGTTGTCTCTCTGTCTTTGTGCTCCTTGTAGACTTTTTATTGACTATATCACTATTATTCACTGAAGCAGTCAGCCCTAATAATGTCCCAAATCAACTGATTCTCTACACTAGTTTAGTGTCATTCATTTCCATCCTTATTGCACATGAAAAACTTGCTATAACTTTCTTACTCATCTTGAATTTCTCATTCAGAGAATTTATACTGATTGTGAAGAATTAATAGAGATCATTAGAAAAAAAAGCTTAAGCCAAAAGTATTACCAGTTATCCAGTTTTTTAAAGATGCAATTTTAGCTCTTATTTAGAAAATGGTAATCTTTGCAGATTGAAAACCAACTTCTTTTATAATAGGGTTCCCTGTAGGATTCATAATAGGATGCCCCAGAGGCTGGACCGATAGTATAGCAGATAGTATAGCAGATATAGGGCATTTGCCTGCACCTAGTGGTCCCGTATTCACTCCCTGGCATCCCTTATGGTCCCCCAAGCACTGCCAGGAGTAATTCCTGAGTGCATGAGCCAGGAGTAACCCCTGAGCATAGCTGGGTGTGACCCAAAAAGCAAAAATAAATAATAGAATGCCCATAAACTTTGAAATGATAAGTATATAAGGTATTATGCAAATGCCAGAAGAAACATTTTTTCTTACTTGGTTTGGGGGACATGTCCAGTGGTGCCGGAGGGCTACTCCCAACTCAGTGCTCAGTAATTGTTATATTAGTACTTGGGATCATGCAATGCCAGGGACCCAAGAGGCACGCAGAGAATGTGCTCCAGTCCATTGAGGTATCTTTGGCCTAGAGGATACACTTGTTTTCCCTCTTAAATTAACATACAGTTGAAAATGAGCTCAAATAGAGCTAGTAATTACCCTTTCAGCTTTGTATTAAGAGCTTTTTTGGGCTTATTCCTGGCAGGGATCTGGGAACCATATGGGATGCCAGAGGTCGAACCATCCCTCTTACCAGATAAAAACAATCGGTAGTACTTTCTGAATGCATTTTTTTAAAGTTAGTGTTTACAATATAATTCTACAGATGCAAATAAAATCTTTGGCTTATGAAATAAACATATGACAATCTAGAATATTGAAGCAAGAGCATAGGTAGAGTACATAAAGTATTCAGATAGACTGGTGCATTTGATGATGAAATTACATATGTAGAAAGTACCAAATTTACTGTGTTGTTTTCCTGGTAAAATGAAATTCTCCATTTTGTTAACATATTTCTTATACATCATTGTTTTGATATATTTCAGGATTATGCCACAAAGACAAGATTTGGGAGGCGTACGAAAACTCAAGAAATCAAAGAGGCAGCATTTGAACCATCGATGGAAAAGATATTTAAAAGTAAGTGGCAGTTTTATTATTTTAAAACAAGTACATGGATGTGTTTTTAAAAGGGGGTGGAGCAAGGCAGGGTGCTTGCCTGACGGGTGGCCAACCTGGGTTTGATCCCTAAAAACACATGGTCCGCTAAGCCCTGACAAGACTGATCCCTGAGCACAGAGCTAGGAGTAAGCCCTGAGCATAACTGGGTGTACCCTTCCCTCCAAAAAAAAAATATGTCTGTTAACAGCCTCCCAGAAGTATATATAAACCTTCATATGCATTTTTTGGAATTAAAAAAGTTAGATACTCCTTAACATTCTCAGGTATCTGGTAACCCCAAAAAAATTGGTACTGTGTGGTTTCAGTGGTTCCCAGTACTTTCTTCTAAACAGATTTTATTTTCATTATTTTATTTTTTTTTATTAACAGACCATGATCTAAAAATAATTGTTAATTTCATTTGAAGTTGCATTTATATAACATTTGTATGTGTTTCAAATCAGTAGTAAAGTCTAGCTTTTCAACAAGTCTTCTCTTAATTGGTTACCCATATGGGTCTCTCAGGAATTGAAATTTTGAAATTAACTTTGGTTCATAGTCTGGATTTCAGTTTTATAAATTAAGTAATCTGTCAAAAGTGCAAAAGCATTACTGCTCCTTAATCTTGAAAAGTGTCAATATATCACATGTTGGAAGAGATTATCAGTTGCTATGCTTTAGGGCATTTATTTTTCATAAGTCAGCTTTAGGAAACAAATTGTAATCATAGTGACAATATAATAAATACAGAAAGGGGGAATAAGATGCTTTTATGACTCCACCCTACCCCACCCCCGAGCTGAAAACAGTATTTCTTAATAATCTTAAAAGCACCCTCTCCCTTTATTCTGCTGCATTTACACTGGTTAGATTTGTCTTCAGTCTCTAGTCTCCTTTTCCCTTAGCCTCATCATCGTTTGTTAACAACATTTTAATGGCATCACTCAATTTGCTAAGAATGTGAGAAGTACCGCCCTACCTCTTAGTAATAAAATACCTCGTATAAAAGATTCCACTTCTATACATATACTGTTTTCCTTAAAATTTGATGGAACAAGAGTAAAAGTTGTATATTTTTTTATATTGATTACACACCTTTGCAATAGCACAGCGGTAGGGAGTTTGCCTTGCACGCAGCCAACATGGCCGACCCGAGTTCGATTCCTCTGCCCCTCTCGGAGAGCCCGACAAGCTCCCCGTGACGTATTCGATATGCCAGACACAGTAACAACAAAGTCTCCGATGGAGACGTTACTGGGCATGCTCGAGCAAATCGACGAACAACGGGAGGGCCTTTACCTTTACCTTTGTTTCAATGGAGTTTTTTTTTAACTGGTCCCTTTATTTTGAGGCAGTTTTAATATTCCCACATACACATACAGTTTTAGCTGTTGGGAAGAGATATGGTAGATTTGGTTTTCCTGAAATAGTATGAAGAACTTACTAGTACTTTAATTGGACATGACAGTATTAATATGTATTTCCTCCTGCTTTCCACAGTTGATCAGATGGGAAGATGGTTTATTGCTGGAGGGGCTGCTGTTGGTCTCGGAGCGTTATGCTACTATGGCTTGGGAATGTCTAATGAGATTGGAGCTATCGAAAAGGCTGTGTAAGTAAATTGTTCCCAAACAATTCTAGCCTTAAAGGTTTTGGTGTTCTCATCTTCATTTTTACCACTTTTGAAATGTTTAATGTCTAGTCTTCCAGCTGTGTAGAAATTATGCATGAGGGGCTTGGGTTATTGCTCAGTTACTGAGCACTTAACTTGCATGTGTGAAACCTTGTGTTTGATCACTGGACATTGCAAAAAATAAGTACATGAATAAAAATAGAATTGTTTATTTTGCATATGTCCAGATCTAATTAATTTTTACCAAGGCTCTCTGTGTTTAAGCAAGAACTATTTATAGATGAGCCAAGTGCTTCTGTGTCTTTAAATTTTTATAACTCCAAGATACACATAATTCTAGGATAAATGAAATGAAAAAGAATTAGGGCAACGGAGTGATAGTTCTCAGTATATTCTAGCTTATATATGGTTTAACTAAAATTTATGTCTGCAATTCTACAACTATGTGGTTTTGTTTCTTACAGAATTTGGCCTCAGTATGTAAAGGATAGAATTCATTCTACCTACATGTACTTAGCAGGAAGTATTGGTTTGACAGCTTTGTCTGCTCTGGCAGTGACTAGAACTCCTGTTCTCATGAACTTCATGCTGGGAGGCTCTTGGGTGGTAAGTCATTGTAGTTTTGTTTCACTTTTGCAAGAAATAAAATATTAAAGGGAAAATATTGGGAGATGGTAGTAAGTGGAATGACTGTCCAATTGTAGAATACATTTTTGTTAATGCCTGAGTTAGTACAGTAATGACAGTATGAAGAACATTCTAATCTAATCTTCCAGGGCTTTTAATATGGGAGCTGCCCTACCTCACTCCAAGAGCACCCTAGAGGTCTCAGCCACGAATGAAACCTCACCTTTAGAAAAATTTTTCTTTTAAGAAAGGACAAGATTAGTATTTATAAAACCATTTAAGGAAAGGAGATGCAGTGGTCATTAGAGGTAATTTCATAGTCCAGAAAATCTGAGTAATTGAGGTCTGAGATGAAGAAGACATTTAGAAAGGGAATATTTTATTGCCTACCAAGAAGAGTACCTAATCAGAGGCCCTAATCAAACAAAATATATCTGCCTGATTCTGGCCACGCACTTCAAGTTTTCGATTTCTTCTTTAAATCATATGAATGTTCATCTTTATCCTTTTTTCCTTTACACATATTTCTTCCTTGTTATACACATCTAAAGAGTGGAAGTCCAAGGTACACAAACAAAAATAAGGATTAAGTACCTGGAAGGATAAGAATGTAGGATTTGGGGCTGGAGTGATAGCACAGTGGGTAGGGTGTTTGCCTTGCATGCGGCCGACCCGGGTTTGATTCCCAGCATCCCATATGGTCCCCTGGGCACCGCCAGGGGTAATTCCTGAGTGCATGAGCCAGGAGTAACCCCTGTGCATTGCCGGGTGTGACCCAAAAAGCAAAAAAAAAAAAAGAATGTAGGATCTTATTTCCTAACTTGAGGGGTGGATACTGCAAGGCAGCACCTTCCCCACTGTACTATCCCTCTAGCTCCAAGAATAAATTTGAAAAAGATGTCAGGAAACTCAAGTCGTGTACTTGAAATTAGCTGCAAAACATCAAAAGTGGCAATAGGGAGTATTCTTGCTGACTTCATCCAAACTGACATAAACTCAAGGCATTTTAACATGTAAAAGAAAATGCGGAATTCAATTATTCATATTTTAAAATGGTTTCATTGGTGGTATTAACTGAATTTAAACTTGCCAGTTTCTTTGTTGTTGTGTAAGAATTAGTTTCTCTCAACTGGTATGTGTTTTTCAGACAATTGGTGCAACCTTTGCAGCTATGATTGGAGCTGGAATGCTGGTACGTTCAATATCCTATGAAAACAGCCCAGGCCCAAAGCATCTTGCTTGGTTACTACATTCTGGTATGTTCTAATGTAAAATTATTACTAGGCAATTCTGAATACAATCATTTTGGGTGACTGATCAAGTTATAAATTACGTTTGCATTATTTAATTCTTATCCTTAGCAGTTTTCTGCAATTTTTATTAGTTGTTTGCTATTGCTGGAATAGCACAGCGGGTAGGGCGTTCGCCTTACAAGCGGCCAACAAGGCCGACCCGAGTTCGATTCCTCCGCCCCTCTCGGAGAGCCCAGCAAGCTACCGAGAGTATTCGATATGCCAGACACAGTAACAACAAAGTCTCCAATGGAGACGTTACTGGGCCCGCTCGAGCAAATCGACGATCAACGGGAGGGCCTTTACCTTTACCTTTACCTTTACCTGATATGAAAAATTAATGATTCTGAAACCGTGAGAAAACTAAGACCATGAGACTCTTAATTTTACCTCCTATCTAGCATATGCAGAGAAGTCCTTTTTAAAAAAATATATTTTTTTTTAATTGAGTTACCGTGAAATACATAGTTACAAAGCTGTTCATGGTCAAGTTTCAGTCAAACAATGATCCAACACTCATCCCTCCACCAGTGTTAGTTTCCCACTACCAGTGACCCTCCCACCATCTCCCCTGTCCTCCCTCCCCCCCCCCCCCCGCCCTCATCCTTTTGGTTTTTGTTTTTTTAGCTTACATGATTTTCATTCTTGATACACAGTACTTGAGGGTGTTTGATTTTTTTTTTTTTTTTTTTTTTTTTGCTTTGGAATCATTTTTCAGAGGCTAGTCCCACTCAGTGGTACTCTGGGTTCATGCACTGCCAGGGGGTCAAACCCAGGCCTTCTGTATAGCAAGTATGTGTTCAGTTCTGTGAACTATCTGCCTGATTATTAAAGAACTATTCTTTCTGAATGTTTTAAAAAGTTTCAGACATTGAGGGTAGAAAAGGGAAGGAAGAAGGTAAGATATGTGAAAAAATAGAAAATTCTTCTGGGCAGTATTGAAAGAAAGCAAACGGGGGGACGGGGGAGGAAGGTCACAGAGCTTGAGCGCATGTCTGGCATGTATAATGCCTTAGGTTCAGTTCAGTTTCCAGTCACAAAATTTTACTGCTACCTCATGGTCTCCTTAGCATCACTAGGAGGTCACCCCAAAAAAAGACAACAAAGAAAAAAGATCTTTGGAAATGTGTATTTGTGTCTGGGGTGGTTTTTGTTTTTCTTGTTTTTTAAGTAAAACATCAGGTTGCCAGAGATTGACTTACAGACAGGAAGGCATGAGTTTGATTTACTCTCTCCCAGCACTGCCCCTCATGATTGGTGAGCACAATCATGTTGGCACTTGCCATTTGTAATTCCTGGCACTGTAGCCAAGGGTTCAACCCCAGTCATCTTGATAGCAACAGAAATCCAGAGAAAGAATTAAAAGATGTGCATCATGTGTTTATTCTCTGATCTTTGTTGCCTTTTGGTAGTAAAATGTTTGGCTTCGAGTTAGTCATTTTAGAGACTTTGTAATCTCAGTCCTTGCATATGTGAACATTATGAAAATTGGTAAATTCAGATTCAAAAAGTGAACTGAGTCGAATTTGATAAAGTTAATTAAAAATACTAGTTTTTATACTTGTGATTTGTGACTGTGACTAGGAGTAGCATTAGTGTTGTGACTTAGAATTTGAATAGCCACAAATTTTGGGTCTAGAACTTGGGGTGGTATGTATATGGGGGAGATGATCTAAAACGATCTGTTATATTGTTTAACAGTAGGTACAATATGTTAAAATGCAGTTGTTTACAAGTAACTTTTCTCCCTTAGTTACTTATACTTATTTTTTTTTCCAGGTGTGATGGGCGCAGTAGTGGCTCCTTTGACCATACTAGGGGGACCTCTTCTCATCAGAGCTGCATGGTACACAGCAAGCATTGTGGGAGGCCTCTCCGCTGTGGCCATGTGTGCACCCAGTGAGAAGTTTCTGAACATGGGAGCACCTCTAGGAGTGGGCCTGGGTGTTGTCTTTGCATCCTCACTGGGTAAGCTGCTGTGCTCTAACACTTGTTCTTAGTTCATGGTGTCCTAAAATCATTTAATGCAGTCCGTTGTTCTAATGAAAGGTATTTGTTAAAAGTCATTGTTTAGAAGCTAGATGTTAATGAGTGGAACCAGCATGAAGGACTTAGTGTGCCCTGTTAATGGACAGTAGATTCTTGGTGTGGTGATCATGATGTAGTGTTCAAAGATAAAGAATTAACTTGAACTTCTATAACAAACCAGTGTTAATTGAACAAAAATTTAACTTTTAAAAATACGGGAAAATGCCGATTTGACTGGATTTTATTTTGGGGGGCAACAGTTGCTGGTGCTCAGGGGCTGTTAACCAGCTCATTGCTTGGAAGGTCACTTTTGGTGTTTAGGGGATCCCATATGTGTTGTCGGGGATGATTTTGGGGCTCCTTAATGCCGAACAGGTGTTCCAGCTCACTGAGATAGCTCCTCGGCCCTTGGTCCTACATACTTTTTTTTAAAATGCATTGTAACAGTCTCTTTTAATGAATGCTAATTAGTTTGGCTATAGAAAAGTCCTTTTTTAAAAAAACCTCCCATCTTTTAATTTCAGGATCTATGTTTCTTCCACCTACCTCTGTGGCTGGTGCCAGTCTGTACACAGTGGCAGTTTATGGTGGTTTAGTTCTTTTCAGCATGTTCCTTCTCCATGATACACAGAAAGTAATCAAGCATGCAGAAATAACGCCGTTGTATGGAGCTCATAAATACGATCCCATCAATTCGTAAGTATTCTCGATAGTCTTATGTCTTTGTTACTTAAGATCATTTATGTTTTGGACATTTTGACCTTCTTTGTTTTAATGACTAGTTTCATAGGGCTGCCATAACAAGTCACGAGCTGGGTGGTTTAAAATAGCACACTTATTTTCTCGCTTTCCTGAAACTGAAAATTTTAAATCACACTTAATGGTTGATGCCTTCTGAGGACTCAAGCATATTTCTCTCTTAGCTTCTTGTAACGGCCAATAGTCAGTGGTATTTCCTGCCTTAGATCACTTAAATCTATCTCACTATTTTACTTATAATTCTCCATTTGTGTCTGTCTCTATTCTTCCTTTTCTTGCAAAGATAGTAGTCATGTTGGTCTACTCATATTTTTGTACTTCAACATAACTTGAATGCAGCCCACTACTATGGAACTGATTGAATTTTACTTTTCCTGTTTGATGTTTTTTGGGGATTTTTTGTTTGTTTGTTTCAGTGAGCAGTTTGTTAATGGAAATTCAATTTCTTAAATAAGTGATATTCAGGTCTTTTTTTTAATTGATTTTTGTGGCCATCTGCATCGGTTAATTTTTTTTTGATGATTTGACAGACTTAAAAATTATAAGATACATCACTTGATCACTTGATCCCCCGTTATTCATCGATTTACTCGAGCGGGTGCCAGTAACGTCTCCATTCATCCCTGTTGCGTGCTAGCGTAGCCCAATGGCATCTGTTCATTCTAGGAACATGCAGAGCCTCAAACCGATCATTCAGGGTCTTGACGAAGAAGTCTGACCATCTTGTAGGTGGGCATCCACGCGATCTTTTGATGTCCCATGGAATCTAGTCCAGCGGTTGTCTGTAAACCTCATTACATGTCCAGCCAATCTGATTTTTGATGCCTTGGCAAATGATACATATTTGGTGAAAAAGAATCTAGTTGAATGTTTTTTAAAAATTGGAAACAGTTCAGTATGAAAATTCCCGTTTTGAAAGATAGCTAACTTTCTGTAATATTAGATGTTATGTGTTTTTGTCTTAGCCTCTCCAGCAAAGTAGAGTATTTAAACAAGTCTCAAGTTCATAGTGTTTTATTTATTTGGGTTTTGGGCCACAACTGATGGTGCCCAAGGCTTATTCCTGGCTCTGCACTCAGAGATTTCTTCTGGCAGGCTCATGGGGACTGTGTGAGGTACCAGTGATTAAACCTGGGTCAGCCATGGCAAGCACCTTACCCACTGTTACTATCTCTTCAGCCTATGTCTTTGACATTTAAAAAAAAAAAATCTTACTTTAAAACTAAAACAATATAATGGCTGAAAAAACTTACACTGAGTTTAATATTTGTAGCAGTTTTCTTGTAGGAGCAAGCAGGCATTGTAGGTAGCATTTTGTATTTTTAAATGCCAGGCTGGCACCTAACACAGTTTTTTAAAGGTGTTTCTTGGATTTTGTTTTGGTTATTTCATGTCTGTTACCAATTGTTTTCACAGGATGTCATAAACTGTTTAAAGGGTTAATTTGTCAAAAGAAAACCATACTGTTTTGTAGTCTAGAGCTTCCTTGAATCTTACTCTTAATTTCTATTTTATATTGGTAGAGAAATTATCAAAGTATCTTAATTACATAGTATTTAATGAGCATAATTTTGTTTTCTAGGATGCTGGGAATCTACATGGACACACTAAACATATTTATGCGCATCGTCAGTATTCTGGCAGGTGGTGGAGGCAACAAAAAGTGAAGTGACTATGCTTCTGACTTTTAAAATACATCAGATATCCTGCTTCTTTGATATGCACTGATACTCATTCATTTCTTCAAGCAGCTTTTGAAGTTTAGAAAATCAGAACTTGTCAACACATTTCAAATGTTCCAATAATACAATGCTTCAGGTTGCTTTCTTTCTGAAGAATAAATTCATTAGTTCTCTTCTTTAATAAGCAGATATATTTCCAGTTCTCATGTTTCAGTAATCTAAAATATTATAGTAAATGTGAAAACTAAGGTTTGTGTTATAGGTGTAATAATTTAAGTTATGATTTCTGCCTTCACATTTTTTGGATTCAGAATTTAGATAATGTCATCAGTGTGTAGAGATTTGGTAAAAGAACTGACTAGCAGAGATAAAAGGTCAGAGCTGGAGCGATAGCACAGCAGGTAGGGCGTTTGCCTTGCACGAGGTCAACCTGGGTTCGATTCCCAGCTTCCCATGTAGTCCCCCAAGCAGCACCAGGAGTAATTCCTGAATGCAGAGCTAGGAGTAGTGTGTCACTGGGTGTGACCCAAAAAGCCAAAAAAAAAAAAAAAGGTCACTATAGTCTCTTGAGTAACTTTGAAGTCTAGCACTTCTATAAATACTGGTGATTCAGTGAAAGTCTGGATGTTTAGAAATAAACAAGTCATCGCTTTTTGCGTCGACCTACTCAACTTACAAAATACTAAGCATAAAAACAAGGTACAGGTGATTGATTTTCCTGCTTTTCCTCCTCAGTACTGTCTTTACAATGTAGATGTAGTCATCTTTGGCATTTAATTATATGATATCAAGAGAGTCCAGATGTTAATCACTGGAGAAATTCCTCATACATGTATATATTTCTTATCCTTGCCATAAAATACATATGTACATAGAGCTAACACAGTATTTGTGTGTTTTGTTTTTCAGTCTTCTAGAACAAAATATCCTCAAAACTCAGAATTTTCAAAGCATGGAAATCATTGCATTCTCAAATATAATATATTGTGTTCACAATCCCTAAGGAGGCTTTTTTCTTTTTTGCATATATATTGGAATGTTTACTAGAATACATTTTTTGCCTTTTTCATCTATTTTCTTTTTAATTTGTGGCTTACATTTAATAAAAACAGTTTTCTCTTGGCTTATTTTTGCTTCTGAAACTTAAATACTTAGCAGGAAGGTATGTATGCTCCTTTTATGATTCACCTTCCTCATGAGCTGTACCAATCCAGAAATGTAATGATGAAAATGATTTATTAGTTTCCCCTATTAGAATTTTTCTTCTCTCCAGAATCAGTCATTATTTAACTCTGTGACTTGAATATTTTGATACAGAAGAATTATTTTTGGATGCTCTAATGAACATGTATATCATAATGAGCTAACTGGTATTTTGACAATTATTACAGCAATCCAAAAATAGATATTTCAACTCTTTTCAATAATAGTTCTGAAATAAAGGTTCCAATCAGATGGTCTATAATTTTTCAAACTGAATCATAGGCATCCATTTAAGTAGAGGATTCATTCAAGATAGTAACTTGCCTTCTTGCCAATATAGTATACATAAATCAATATGTATATGACCGTGGTGCTTTTCAGGTAGATGCCTTTGAGTCTCAATTCTTACATTACTTCTTACATGACCTTGGATATAAAATAACTCCTTTGTTTGCATTCTCTTATCTGTAAAATAAAAGAATCTACTTCATAGGAGTAAAGTAAAATATGCACATACTCAGTGAAGTGTTTTAGCTACTGTTGCTAGTTAGGAGGTGGTGGGGGTGGATAAAAGAACTATAAGTACCTAACTATACCCTCTTCCCCCATTCTAGTTCCTGATTCAGTATCGCTGATTTTAAAAGGCTTCACTGTATTCATATACTGGAACCCAAACCTTATATCCTTATTTGAATGTTAATCCTACATTAAAAAAAATATATAGCATTTTAACAATAGATACAGGGCAGAAGATCTAGAAAATTAAAGATACTGGAGCACTTTTTCTGACTTTTCTAAAACAATGAAGACCTTAGTTTAAAAGTAAGTTACTTAATAATATTGAATTTGAATATTTCTAAGATAACAAAGTGATGGGGGAGGGAAAAGTCACTAGCTCTTTTGCTTCTATTAATCATTGAAATTTTTCTCCCTCACATCACAGGAAGAATAAAGGCCTGAAATTGATAGGTTGAGGCAAAAAGAAAAATACCTACTTCATTTTCCATTGGGGCTGGAGCGATAGCACAGCGTGTAGGGCGTTTGCCTTGCAAGCGGCCAACATGGCCAATCCGAGTTCGATTCCTCCGCCCCTCTCGGAGAGCCTGGCAAGCTACCGAGAGTATCTCACCCACACGGCAAAGCCTGGCAATCTCCCCGTGATATATTCGATATGCCAAACACAGTAACAAGTTTCAGAATGTTACTGGGCCTGCTCGAGCAAATCGATGAACAACGGGACGATAATGATAGTGTCATTTTCCATTGTCATCTAAAGTGTTAAAAGAGTAACTCAAATGTGTGACTAAAACTAATTTTTTTTAAAAAGCCTTTGAATTTGCATAAAATGGTGTCTAAGGAACATTTCAATCAGAAAATAAGAGATTACTGACCAGGTACCATATTAACTGGGTCCAGCATCACAATGATGAAAAAAAGTAATTGCCTTCTGAAACATCACATAGTCTGCTGTGATAAGTGTCAGAAGAGAAGTGAACAAAGTTGAAGTGTGTAATAATGAGTGATATTTCCAAGATGTCCCAGAAGGAAATATTTCATGATTATCATGCATTTAAAAAGTAGTGAAGATTGCTCCCTTCGACAGCACATACACTTCTAAAAATAAAAGAGTGAACACCGTTGACATGCATTATTGGAGGAAGTGTGAGGAATATGGGTGAGAGATGGCACGAAAAGAATGTTCCCCATGAACCCTGATTTCCTGTTTATGATAAATGATAAGTTCTATACCATAATCAGAATCCTAGAATATTTTCTAAGAACACTAGACAAAAGGCAGTTATGCTTTCCTTTAAAAAATTTTAATCTGGAGGAATGTGTCTATAAAGTTCCTGACACCAGTGCTGAAATTTGTATAATTCCAGTAGAGAAGAATCCAGATATGCCAGGAATAGCTAATTATTGATTTTTGTTTTAGTTTCAATAAATACATTTTACAAATTCTGATATTTTATAGATTTCCACCTTAAAAGTCAAAAAGAACGAAGCAGTCACTGGAAGGGGTTTGGGTTTGGTTTTTTTTCTCTTTTGGACTGTTCAAAACTAACTTTTTGTACATTTTCTGGTCATAAATATACAAGAAGAAAAAGGGAGGAGAAAAAATGAACAAGTCATTCAAAATATGGAATTAGAACAATTTCCTATGGGATGGCATGATTACTGAATTTGATATTTTTCATATTGTGTGCTGGAGTGATAGCATAGCAGGTAGGGCATTTGCCTTGCCCGCTGCTGACCCGGGTTCAATTCCTCCATCCCTCTCGGAGAGCCTGGCAAGCTACCGAGAATATCCCGCCCGCACAGCAGAACCTGGCAAGCTCCCTATGGCATATTTGATATTCCAAAAACAGTAACAAGTCTCACAATGGAGACGTTACTGGTGCTCGCTCGAGCAAATTGATGAACAGCGAGAGGACAGTGTTACACTGTTAGGGCTACAGTGCATGTTGTGTGTTGGTCCCTTTATAAAGAAGTATTTTTGAGAATAATTAATTACTAGTACCCCCACTCTCCAGAGAAGCCCACACGTGGTCATATATATATGACCGAGAGCCATGTATTTTCTGAAGTTTGTGATCAGTGCTCTAGGGTCTTAAGATGTTTTAAAATGATGAAAGCATTCTCTTAATCAATTAGACCTATTCTGCTAAAAAAATCCAGAACATTAGAACTTGTTTTACCAAAAGAGATTGACTGCAGCGTCTGAAGGCTGGTGCTCTTTTATTTGCCCTGATCCAAGTACCAGAGTGCCTAGTCCACTTGGAACTACAAATTACTTTCATTTTCCCCACAGTTTACAGTTCATGATTGAGTTTCAGTCAGTGTTCCAACACCCAGTGTACATTATCCACCACCAATGTCTCCAGTTTTTCTCCAACTCCTTGCCCCCAGCCTACCTTTATGGCAGACTTTCTTTCTCTCCCCCCATATTTTTCCTTTTAGGCATTGTGGTTTGCAGTACTGTTACTTAAGAGTTACTGTGCATATCACTACTTCCTTTCAGCACGGATCATTTCCAACTCATTTTCACGTGGTTCCTTCTCTGTCCTAACTGCACTCCCCCTGCCTCTTGTGGCAAGTGTCCTACCATGGATCGGATCTCTTGGCCCTCCTTTCTGTTGTCTTAAAAATTAACTATTAAAGTCAGTGTATTCAAGAAGATAAAAGCCTCCTTCTCAGTACACATGATGACTTAGTGTAGCACTCAAAATGGAAATCAGTTTTCAGGGAAAAAAAAACAAGTGACATTAAGAATTTCTGTCTTGTGAAGCAATTGAGAAGACAGAAGTTATTCTGGTATTGACAGCAAAAGGAGAATATTGTGCCCCAAACATAAGTTTTAACATAGAACAAGGTTTTACAATCATACTGTGTCCAGCCAGCATTAAGTGATTTTTTTTTCCTACTCAAAGCTGGATTGGCATTCTCTTTTCTGGGCATACGAATTTAGAAACATTTTTAAAACATCTAATGTTAGTAGTTGCCAGTGAACCCTTAAAGGCTGCCTGTTAAGGTACCACAGTGTAAGATGGGCACAAACTTCCAGGCTAGCTCTGTGTTCCTAGAATATGATGGCAACTCACATTAGTATTCTAGAGTGCTTTATGTAGTTACCTCAGAATGGTGAAATTAAGACACTAATGGAAAGATGCTAGAGATCTTAATTTGCTCATTGGTTGTGTTCAATTTTTTCACGTTCTGAAATGAGTTTTTCTTTTAAATAGCATGTCTTAAAATCTGGTGTTTGGGATTTAAGTATGGTATTTTCTATTCCTAATTTCTTGTCATGTAAGAACTTGAAATTAATATGATGTGATTATATGAAGTTATGTAATATCATATCAGTAATATGATGCAGTAACTTTTACTGATGATTCAGAGTGCCACTTCCTTAAGAAAGTACAAACAGGCTAGTCACACCCAGTGAAGTAAGTAGATCATATGGGTCAAATGAT